TTGGCAAAACCCACTAACGTTGTGACTGTTGAAACACCCCTACTCCGACCATCTACCTGACACCGATCGTTGTTCTTCCCTCTCGTCATCCCCGTCTAGCAGAAGCAAGAACGAAGCAACAGAGGCTACTGGAGCAACCTCTAACCACTACTACAATCACCATATGCTGCTGCCACCGTGATTCTACCCACCACCACCTTCTGCTACTGCAGTAAGTCTTTCGCCACCATCACCTTTCGTTCCGCATACTTTCTTTTCTATTCAAAAAGCTGATCAAGAGGATTGTAGATTTTTTTTCCTTTCGTTCGTTACATGCGTGAAACAGATGATGAAGGAGATGAAGTGTGACTTGGGAGAGCGGGGGGTACCAATTAAATGACGTGGAGAGAGAGAGAGAAGAGAGAGAGAGAGGGGGATGGAGGGTGAACCCAATTTTATATTTAATGATAATAATAATTTTAAAAAGTGAAAGAAAAAATAAAAATTAAATTCATTAAGGGTATAATAGTCTTTTTAGTTTGAACGAGGATTAAAACTGCATGTAAACTAGCTCAAAATGATCACCAATCCAAAAAAGTCGAGGTTTTGATTAAAACCTCAAAAAACGCATACCACATGGACCATTTTTTCAATTTTGTCTATTATTTTGGTTAGTTTTATAACTTTTATAATTTTAATAATTATTATATTCTATATTATAATATGAAAATATGTATTTAGTGTGTGGTTGGAATAGATCAAAGTTTGGTGTTAAAAATACACCAATTTATATATATTTTTAGTGGAATGGTTGGAGTTGCTCCAAACAGGATATTGTAATGAGTTTTATGCAATCTTAGAGCCTATGTATGCGATAATCTTGTAATGGCAATGTACTTTCTAATCTTCACGTTTTTTTGCAACGTATTTTATGATTATAACTTTTTATAGCAACGTATTTTCTTTTTTTCTCTCTTTATGGAGATTATGGCTAATTATTGTAAACTGATACCAAAATACAAAACATTAACCAACTAAAACCATTTACCAAAATCATTTCTAAGACCGGAAGAAGTGGGAGTTTCCCTCACTTTTGGTGGGCTATACTCCTCTTTCCCCCCAATCTCTTTTCCCTCACCTAAAAGCCAAGAAATGGGTGAGAAACCCTTCTCTCACTTTTTTTTTTATTAAATAAAATTAATTTTTTTGTTATGAATTATAAATTTTAAATTAATACTAAACATAAAATTTAATTAAAAATAAAAAACATTTCATTAATTAACATAAAAATTACATTAAACCTAAATTTTAAAAAAGTAGAAAATTAAAAAAAACACACACACACAAACTAAAAATAAAAAAAAACCAACAACGACCTACGGAAAATATTTTTTCATAATTTTTTCCCTCTTCTCAGCACGAGCTCGAGACTCGGTTCCGAGAGATGATTGACGTTTTCCATCAAAAACTTAATGTCTTACATTTCTTGTCTCTCCGCCCTCTCCCTTTTCATGGTTTCTTCTTTTTCTTTGCCGAAAGCCAAACGTTCGGAGAAATTTAAATTATATCGATCAAACGACGATGTTATCTTCCGCATTTCGTCCATGTCCACGCTGAAATCAGATGCACTCGAAGAAGTCCCTTTTCCCTTTCTCTTCGCTTTGTCCCTACCCATTGGGCGTTCAATTTCTTCTAGCTCGAGTTCGCCGTCCTGATTTAAATCTAGACCGACCTGAGCATTGGAGGAGGTTGTGTAACCACTAGAGCTCGTTTTCGTTCGCTTTGATTGTTGGACTCCAAAAATAAAATCGCGCTCATATTTTTTCCACCTAGGACTTCGGACCAATAATTTCCAACAATCGTGCCACTTGAATGGTTTTCCGACTTCCTCAAGGTAAAACTGCAACGCTTCAACGCTTCTTGAAGTATTTATTCGTCGCCTTGGGTGCTTTTTTGTTAGGTTTTTAGGTTGCTGTACAACCCGTTAATTTTTGAAACCCCATTTGCTATTTCTCAAAACTTCGAATTAAGTTGATGTTTGGTACGGTACCCGTTAATTTTTGAAACCCAAGCTTTGTCCAAAACTAGCTCTTCGTGTGGAACCAATGTTGTCGGCTTTTGTCTTCCTGGTTGTGCGACACCCTCGCACGCTTGTTTTTTCCATTTACGTCTTTGTGGTGGTGGTGTTGGTTGAGTTTCGGGAACCATGTCTTCTTCTTCTGCGTCATTCGATTTATCGACAAGTTGGTGTTGTTGTTGGGTTTGGGTTTGAGTTTCAGTTTGAGTTTGGGGTTGAGGTTGATTTGGCGATTGTTGATCCAGAAACATAAAAAGTTTTAAAAACATTTGCGACGGAACATTTGGAACTTGCAACGGGTAATATTGGTCAACATTTTGGTGTTGGAATGGTAGTGGGGATTGAATGAGAGAATCGAGTTGGGGACGGTAAACTCCTAGCGTGGATGAATCGATAGCAAAAATGTTGCGAGGAGGGATGTTTATACTTGAATCATGGCTTTCTTTTTCCTTTGATCGGAAATTGGGATTTGATTGACGGGATTCATTTTTTTTTTTTGATATAAAGTAGAGAGAATAGAGGATAGTGTCGTGTTTTTAAGTTATATTTATGTATTTATAGTAGTGGTAAAAGGATGAATAAATTTAAAAAAAAAACACACAAGTAGCCGTTACAGCCAAAAAAAATTTACATTTTTTACCGTTGAATAACGGTTATTTTTCAAAAAAAAAAAAAAAAAAAAAAAAAACCGCTGGCCAATCTCAACAAGAGAGAGGGAGAGGTTCCCATCTTCGTTTCCCGTAGAAGCCTTTCCCGCGCCGACGGTGCGATGTTCCGCCAGGCCGGAAGCTGCCCGCTTCCGTTCTCTGCGTCTGCTCCGTCCGGCCTAAACAATGACCAAAATGCAAAATATGACCCTAAAAGATACCTATTATTCATATAAACCAGTGAAGCTGATCTAAACCAGCCAACCAATGAATAAGCAGTTTGGCTTGACTCGATACAACTTATTGTTCATGAGCCATGTCCATCTTTAATATGTATAAGGGATAATGACTTGAAAGGGTAACGAACTTTCGATTTTTGTCACATTTAGTCACTAAACTTTTTTTCGTTATCTATTTGTCATTGAACTATTTAAACTGTTCACATTTTACCCTTATGACCGGCTGTTGTCGGTCATAAGGGTAAAATGTGAACAGTTTCAATAGTTCAATGGCAAATAGATAACGAAAAAAAGTTTAGTGACTAAATATGAACAAAATCGAAAGTTTGTTTCCCTCTAAAAAGTTCAATGACTAAATGTGAACAAGCTTCCTCTTGTATTATGTTTTAGCAAATTATTTATTTTTGTTAAATTGTAGCAACATTTGTTGATGAAGAAAATCTATGAAATTAAAAAAAAAAAAAAACAAAAACAAAAAAAAAACCCTGAAAATATATTTAAAAAAAAAACAAAAAACCAAAACCGAAATACAAAACCAATGGTTTAACATTTTCCAAAATAAAAAATCAAAATTTCCAATCTGATTTTGGTTTTACAAAAAAATGAACCATTCTCACTGATGTGAATTATGACCATTGGTTTGGCATGCGAAATTTGTGACATCCTATGAATATGTTGTTACAACATCGTCTGAACTCGTAATTCATAGTAAGGGGTTAGATTATCATCACATGAATACGTAGTTACAACATCGTCTGAACTTGTAATTCATCACCTACAGGTTATGGGCCTGCTGGTGTTTCCACTGTGTTATCTAGAATAGTTTGTGGTTGCCATCTATACTCTGGTAGATGACTACATCGTCACATTGTTGGTTAAGTTTATGGTATCTCCTTTCATCCTACATCATATATTCATCATCATCTATATACCTAATTATCATCACCTTTCTATCATCACATATCTCTCATCATTTTATTTCATCACACACTAACTATTTCATCTACCCATGTTTCGTCCGCAACATATTTGTAGATATAAAATAAATATACCGTTTAAATCTTTTAAAACATGTATAAAATCGTTCATCCAGCATAGACAACAAGTATTCAAATAATATGCACACATAGCACGTAATTTATATAAAATATTTCATTTCTATATATAAGATTAAAGTGACTATATCTACCATAAAAATCCCATAAATGCTTCCTAACTTCGAACCCCAAAATTTACTCTACTAAAGCTTCATATTCTCGGCTCTCTGAACCTAGAAGGGTCCAGATCTATCACACCAAAAAGCTCAAGATAGATCTTCCTCTCACTCTACACACTCAAGCTCGCTAGGGTTCTCACTTATGGGAAAGGTAGTGGCAATTGAAGGCCATAAGTGCCTTTAAATATGGCTCGGGCCCAAAGATTTACGGTTTCTGCCAACAGCGCAGACTCGTCGAGTCGCCTCACCGACTTGTCGAGTCCATTCATTAATCCGAGTCATCAGTCGCGACCTTAGTCGACGAGCTGAGGCGTCAACTCGTCGAGTCTCTATTCTTAACTCAAAAGAAAAATACTTAAATTATGATACCTGTAAATCCGGATGTTGCATTTTGTTTTTTTTATTTCATAGATTTCTTCATCAACAAATGTTGCAAAAATTAAACAAAAATAAATAATTTTGCTAAAACATAATACAATAGAAAGTTTGTTCAAATTTAGTCATTGAACTTTTTAGAGGGAAACAAACTTTCGATTTTGTTCACATTTAGTCACTAAACTTTTTTTCGTTATCTATTTGCCACTAATCTATTGAAATGGTTCACATTTTACCCTTATGACCGGTAACAGCCGATCATAAGGGTAAAATGTGAACAGTTTCTATAGTTCAATGGCAAATAGATAACGAAAAAAAGTTTAGTGACTAAATGTAATAAAAATTGAAAGTTCGTTACCCTTTCAAGTCATTATCCCTATGTATAATATTAAGCAACGTTTCTAAAAAAAACATGTTACATAGACTTGTTTACATCATATAAGTTAGTACACTATAATAATTATTTGTTAGGATTTTATATCAACTTGAGCCTCTATCTTCTTCTTAAATGGTCTTCCACGTGGTCTCTTCACCACCTCCACACCGCCGTCTTTACTCTCCACACGCCTCGGCCGCCCTCTCTTCCTCTTCAAGCCTTCATCTGGTTCTGTGGGCCTCGCCCTTTTCTCCACCGCCACCTCCACACACGGCGGCCGACCTCTCGGTCTCTTTAAAACTTTTCCGGCTGGCTGCTCCACCGCCACACGTGCCGCCCGCCCTCTTGGTCTCTTCAGACTTTCAACAGCCATAGCTCCGTCGGCTTGAGCTCTTTTCTTGATGATTTCTGCTAGACAGAACTTATCTTCGCTTCTGAGATACTTGAATACACATGTATCTCCTTCACATATGTCATTATCTCGCAGAAATTCACTCCACCCCTTCGAAAAATAGTACCTTGTATAATGTCCCCCCTCTGAAAGTAACCGTACTGGCCACTCTTTTCCTTGCAGATTCTTCATGCTCATTGTTCTTCCTGCAGTCAATCTGATCAATCGTGCAAATTCCAACGGAAACCGCTGATGCAAACAAAAGTTATTATCATTATATATGATGAATTTATGATTACTTATTACCCCAAATCTTACCAAAGCAAATTTTTGTTTTCCTTTTTTCGGTATAACCTTCGTAAAGCAAGGATCCCCGGCATCCCCATCAATATCATCATCTTCTTCTTCATCATGAACGTGATCATGTTCAAGCGGGAATTTTTTTTCACACCCATTGGTACCGAAAAATAAGAGCTTGAAGATGGAGCGACCAAGGAGCCAAAAGACAAGAAAATCCCCAAACTCCAACCGGGTATCTTCAACTACCTGTTTCCATGCATCAGCAAAGCAGTAAATATCACCATCTTTTTTTATCTTCAATCTCCATGAATAGCCTCCATTTACAGATCGGAGTGTTGCATTTTCAGGGATGTCGTTCTCCAAGTGCTTGCGGACGAAACCAGTTGGCAATGGCTGCAATAAACAATAATAAAAAAAATTAATGCTAATGCTAATGCATGATATGATGCGAAAATTACGAGAAATGAAAATTGAAATTGGGGTCGTTGGTTGAAGTAGATGAGTACCAGGTGAGTAGCGGAACAGTCGAGCATGATCTTGAAGAAGGAAGGGATCCCGCGAGGGCGAGGGGCCATTTCGTTGGATTTATGAAGTTCGAAAACAGAATGAAAATTGAAGTTGAAGAGAGAAAGAGGGAAAATTAAGACAACTATAAATTACAAAATTCGCAACAAGAGAGAGGGAGAGGTTCCCATCTTCGTTTCCCGTAGAAGCCTTTCCCGCGCCGACGGTGCGATGTTCCGCCAGGCCGGAAGCTGCCCGCTTCCGTTCTCTACGTCTGCTCCGTCCGGCCTAAACAATGACCAAAACGCAAAATATGACCCTAAAAGATACCTATTATTCATATAAACCAGTGAAGCTGATCTAAACCAGCCAACCAATGAATATGCAGTTTGGCTTGACTCGATACAACTTATTGTTCATGAGCCATGTCCATCTTTAATATGTATAAGGGATAATGACTTGAAAGGGTAACGAACTTTCGATTTTTGTCACATTTAGTCACTAAACTTTTTTTCGTTATCTATTTGCCATTGAACTATTTAAACTGTTCACATTTTACCCTTATGACCGGCTGTTGTCGGTCATAAGGGTAAAATGTGAACAGTTTCAATAGTTCAATGGCAAATAGATAACGAAAAAAAGTTTAGTGACTAAATATGAACAAAATCGAAAGTTTGTTTCCCTCTAAAAAGTTCAATGACTAAATGTGAACAAGCTTCCTCTTGTATTATGTTTTAGCAAATTATTTATTTTTGTTAAATTGTAGCAACATTTGTTGATGAAGAAAATCTATGAAATTAAAAAAAAAAAAAACAAAAAAAAAAAACCCTGAAAATATATTTAAAAAAAAAACAAAAAACCAAAACCGAAATACAAAACCAATGGTTTAACATTTTCCAAAATAAAAAATCAAAATTTCCAATCTGATTTTGGTTTTACAAAAAAATGAACCATTCTCACTGATGTGAATTATGACCATTGGTTTGGCATGCGAAATTTGTGACATCCTATGAATATGTTGTTACAACATCGTCTGAACTCGTAATTCATAGTAAGGGGTTAGATTATCATCACATGAATACGTAGTTACAACATCGTCTGAACTTGTAATTCATCACCTACAGGTTATGGGCCTGCTGGTGTTTCCACTGTGTTATCTAGAATAGTTTGTGGTTGCCATCTATACTCTGGTAGATGACTACATCGTCACATTGTTGGTTAAGTTATGGTATCTCCTTTCATCCTACATCATATATTCATCATCATCTATATACCTAATTATCATCACCTTTCTATCATCACATATCTCTCATCATTTTATTTCATCACACACTAACTATTTCATCTACCCATGTTTCGTCCGCAACATATTTGTAGATATAAAATAAATATACCGTTTAAATCTTTTAAAACATGTATAAAATCGTTCATCCAGCATAGACAGCAAGTATTCAAATAATATGCACACATAGCACGTAATTTATATAAAATATTTCATTTCTATATATAAGATTAAAGTGACTATATCTACCATAAAAATCCCATAAATGCTTCCTAACTTCGAACCCCAAAATTTACTCTACTAAAGCTTCATATTCTCGGCTCTCTGAACCTAGAAGGGTCCAGATCTATCACACCAAAAAGCTCAAGATAGATCTTCCTCTCACTCTACACACTCAAGCTCGCTAGGGTTCTCACTTATGGGAAAGGTAGTGGCAATTGAAGGCCATAAGTGCCTTTAAATATGGCTCGGGCCCAAAGATTTACGGTTTCTGCCAACAGCGCAGACTCGTCGAGTCGCCTCACCGACTTGTCGAGTCCATTCATTAATCCGAGTCATCAGTCGCGACCTTAGTCGACGAGCTGAGGCGTCAACTCGTCGAGTCTCTATTCTTAACTCAAAAGAAAAATACTTAAATTATGATACCTGTAAATCCGGATGTTGCATTTTGTTTTTTTTATTTCATAGATTTCTTCATCAACAAATGTTGCAACAATTAAACAAAAATAAATAATTTTGCTAAAACATAATACAATAGAAAGTTTGTTCAAATTTAGTCATTGAACTTTTTAGAGGGAAACAAACTTTCGATTTTGTTCACATTTAGTCACTAAACTTTTTTTCGTTATCTATTTGCCACTAATCTATTGAAATGGTTCACATTTTACCCTTATGACCGGTAACAGCCGATCATAAGGGTAAAATGTGAACAGTTTCTATAGTTCAATGGCAAATAGATAACGAAAAAAAGTTTAGTGACTAAATGTAATAAAAATTGAAAGTTCGTTACCCTTTCAAGTCATTATCCCTATGTATAATATTAAGCAACGTTTCTAAAAAAAACATGTTACATAGACTTGTTTACATCATATAAGTTAGTACACTATAATAATTATTTGTTAGGATTTTATATCAACTTGAGCCTCTATCTTCTTCTTAAATGGTCTTCCACGTGGTCTCTTCACCACCTCCACACCGCCGTCTTTACTCTCCACACGCCTCGGCTGCCCTCTCTTCCTCTTCAAGCCTTCATCTGGTTCTGTGGGCCTCGCCCTTTTCTCCACCGCCACCTCCACACACGGCGGCCGACCTCTCGGTCTCTTTAAAACTTTTCCGGTTGGCTGCTCCACCACCACACGTACCGGCCGCCCTCTTGGTCTCTTCAGACTTTCAACAGCCATAGCTCCGTCGGCTTGAGCTCTTTTCTTGATGATTTCTGCTAGACAGAACTTATCTTCGCTTCTGAGATACTTGAATACACATGTATCTCCTTCACATATGTCATTATCTCGCAGAAATTCACTCCACCCCTTCGACAAATAGTACCTTGTATAATGTCCCCCCTCTGAAAGTAACCGTACTGGCCACTCTTTTCCTTGCAGATTCTTCATGCTCATTGTTCTTCCTGCAGTCAATCTGATCAATCGTGCAAATTCCAACGGAAACCGCTGATGCAAACAAAAGTTATTATCATTATATATGATGAATTTATGATTACTTATTACCCCAAATCTTACCAAAGCAAATTTTTGTTTTCCTTTTTTCGGTATAACCTTCGTAAAGCAAGGATCCCCGGCATCCCCATCAATATCATCATCTTCTTCTTCATCATGAACGTGATCATGTTCAAGCGGGAATTTTTTTCACACCCATTGGTACCGAAAATTAAGAGCTTGAAGATGGAGCGACCAAGGAGCCAAAAGACAAGAAAATCCCCAAACTCCAACCGGGTATCTTCAACTACCTGTTTCCATCCATCAGCAAAGCAGTAAATATCACCATCTTTTTTTATCTTCAATCTCCATGAATAGCCTCCATTTACAGATCGGAGTGTTGCGTTTTCAGGGATGTCGTTCTCCAAGTGCTTGCGGACGAAACCAGTTGGCAATGGCTGCAATAAACAATAATAAAAAAATTAATGCTAATGCTAATGCATGATATGATGCGAAAATTACGAGAAACGAAAATTGAAATTGGGGTCGTTGGTTGAAGTAGATGAGTACCAGGTGAGTAGCGGAACAGTCGAGCATGATCTTGAAGAAGGAAGGGATCCCGCGAGGGCGAGGGGCCATTTCGTTGGATTTATGAAGTTCGAAAACAGAATGAAAATTGAAGTTGAAGAGAGAAAGAGGGAAAATTAAGACAACTATAAATTACAAAATTCGCAACAAGAGAGAGGGAGAGGTTCCCATCTTCGTTTCCCGTAGAAGCCTTTCCCGCGCCGACGGTGCGATGTTCCGCCAGGCCGGAAGCTGCCCGCTTCCGTTCTCTGCGTCTGCTCCGTCCGGCCTAAACAATGACCAAAACGCAAAATATGACCCTAAAAGATACCTATTATTCATATAAACCAGTGAAGCTGATCTAAACCAGCCAACCAATGAATATGCAGTTTGGCTTGACTCGATACAACTTATTGTTCATGAGCCATGTCCATCTTTAATATGTATAAGGGATAATGACTTGAAAGGGTAACGAACTTTCGATTTTTGTCACATTTAGTCACTAAACTTTTTTTCGTTATCTATTTGCCATTGAACTATTTAAACTGTTCACATTTTACCCTTATGACCGGCTGTTGTCGGTCATAAGGGTAAAATGTGAACAGTTTCAATAGTTCAATGGCAAATAGATAACGAAAAAAAGTTTAGTGACTAAATATGAACAAAATCGAAAGTTTGTTTCCCTCTAAAAAGTTCAATGACTAAATGTGAACAAGCTTCCTCTTGTATTATGTTTTAGCAAATTATTTATTTTTGTTAAATTGTAGCAACATTTGTTGATGAAGAAAATCTATGAAATTAAAAAAAAAAAAAAACAAAACAAAACCCTGAAAATATATTTTAAAATAAAACAAAAAACCAAAACCGAAATACAAAACCAATGGTTTAACATTTTCCAAAATAAAAAATCAAAATTTTCAATCTGATTTTGGTTTTACAAAAGAATGAACCATTCTCACTGATGTGAATTATGACCATTGGTTTGGCATGCGAAATTTGTGACATCCTATGAATATGTTGTTACAACATCGTCTGAACTCGTAATTCATAGTAAGGGGTTAGATTATCATCACATGAATACGTAGTTACAACATCGTCTGAACTTGTAATTCATCACCTACAGGTTATGGGCCTGCTGGTGTTTCCACCGTGTTATCTAGAATAGTCCGTGGTTGCCATTTATACTCTGGTAGATGACTACATCGTCACATTGTTGGTTAAGGTTATGGTATCTCCTTTCATCCTACATCATATATTCATCATCATCTATATACCTAATTATCATCACATATCTCTCATCATTTTATTTCATCACACACTAACTATTTCATCTACCCATGTTTCGTCCGCAACATATTTGTAGATGTAAAATAAATATACCGTTTAAATCTTTTAAAACATGTATAAAATCGTTCATCCAGCATAGACAGCAAGTATTCAAATAATATGCACACATAGCACGTAATTTATATAAAATATTTCATTTCTATATATAAGATTAAAGTGACTATATCTACCATAAAAATCCCATAAATGCTTCCTAACTTCGAACCCCAAAATTTACTCTACTAAAGCTTCATATTCTCGGCTCTCTGAACCTAGAAGGGTCCAGATCTATCACACCAAAAAGCTCAAGATAGATCTTCCTCTCACTCTACACACTCAAGCTCGCTAGGGTTCTCACTTATGGGAAAGGTAGTGGCAATTGAAGGCCATAAGTGCCTTTAAATATGGCTCGGGCCCAAAGATTTACGGTTTCTGCCAACAGCGCAGACTCGTCGAGTCGCCTCACCGACTTGTCGAGTCCATTCATTAATCCGAGTCATCAGTCGCGACCTTAGTTGACGAGCTGAGGCGTCAACTCGTCGAGTCTCTATTCTTAACTCAAAAGAAAAATACTTAAATTATGATACCTGTAAATCCGGATGTTGCATTTTGTTTTTTTATTTCATAGATTTCTTCATCAACAAATGTTGCAACAATTAAACAAAAATAAATAATTTTGCTAAAACATAATACAATAGAAAGTTTGTTCAAATTTAGTCATTGAACTTTTTAGAGGGAAACAAACTTTCGATTTTGTTCACATTTAGTCACTAAACTTTTTTTCGTTATCTATTTGCCACTAAACTATTGAAATGGTTCACATTTTACCCTTATGACCGGTAACAGCCGGTCATAAGGGTAAAATGTGAACAGTTTCTATAGTTCAATGGCAAATAGATAACGAAAAAAGTTTAGTGACTAAATGTAATAAAAATTGAAAGTTCGTTACCCTTTCAAGTCATTATCCCTATGTATAATAATAAGCAACGTTTCTAAAAAAAAAACATGTTACATAGACTTGTTTACATCATATAAGTTAGTACACTATACTAATTATTTGTTAGGATTTTTTATCAACTTGAGCCGCTATCTTCTTCTTAAATGGTCTTCCACGTGGTCTCTTCACCACCTACACACCGCCGTCTTTACTCTCCACACGCCTCGGCTGCCCTCTCTTCCTCTTCAAGCCTTCATCTGGTTCTGTGGGCCTCGCCCTTTTCTCCACCGCCACCTCCACACACGGCGGCCGACCTCTCGGTCTCTTTAAAACTTTTCCGGCTGGCTGCTCCACCACCACACGTACCGGCCGCCCTCTTGGTCTCTTCAGACTTTCAACAGCCATAGCTCCGTCGGCTTGAGCTCTTTTCTTGATGATTTCTGCTAGACAGAACTTATCTTCGCTTCTGAGATACTTGAATACACATGTATCTCCTTCACATATGTCATTATCTCGCAGAAATTCACTCCACCCCTTCGACAAATAGTACCTTGTATAATGTCCCCCCTCTGAAAGTAACCTTACTGGCCACTCTTTTCCTTGCAGATTCTTCATGCTCATTGTTCTTCCTGCAGTCAATCTGATCAATCGTGCAAATTCCAACGGAAACCGCTGATGCAAACAAAAGTTATTATCATTATATATGATGAATTTATGATTACTTATTACCCCAAATCTTACCAAAGCAAATTTTTGTTTTCCCTTTTTCGGTATAACTTTCGTAAAGCAAGGATCCCCGGCATCCCCATCAATATCATCACCTTCTTCTTCATCATGAACGTGATCATGTTCAAGCGGGAATTTTTTTTCACACCCATTGGTACCGAAAATTAAGAGCTTGAAGATGGAGCGACCAAGTAGCCAAAAGACAAGAAAATCCCCAAACTCCAACCGGGTATCTTCAACTACCTGTTTCCATCCATCAACAAAGCAGTAAATATCACCATCTTTTTTTTATCTTCAATCTCCATGAATAGCCTCCATTTACAGATCGGAGTGTTGCGTTTTCAGGGATGTCGTTCTCCAAGTGCTTGCGGACGAAACCAGTTGGCAATGGCTGCAATAAACAATAATAAAAAAAATTAATGCTAATGCTAATGCATGATATGATGCGAAAATTACGAGAAACGAAAATTGAAATTGGGGTCGTTGGTTGAAGTAGATGAGTACCAGGTGAGTAGCGGAACAGTCGAGCATGATCTTGAGGAAGGAAGGGATCCCGCGAGGGCGAGGGGCCATTTCGTTGGATTTATGAAGTTCGAAAATAGAATGAAAATTGAAGTTGAAGAGAGAAAGAGGGAAAATTAAGACAACTATAAATTACAAAAATCGTATTTCTGTCCAAAGCCAAAAAGTATTTCAATTTTCCGTAAAAAACACACAAAACAAAAACACTTTTATTTTCTTTTCCCTCATATTTTAATTTTAATCTCGTAATATAAATCGATCCGCAAGGCATATCATTAAATTTATTTAACTAAATTTATATGAGTTATTAATAAAAAAATAAATTACAAAATTCGTATTGTGCTTGTGTTTTACGTTCCAATTAATGTGAACACGATGTATATTTGTTGATAAAAATAGAATCCAAAATAATTAAACTGAATATTTCAATTAGTTCATGTAACATGTTATCGTGATGTGCTTTCATCAATATGTTTCTATATTTTTCATCCCTGGACTACTCTTGAATTCACTATTTACGAAAGAAACCTCACCCAACCCAAAAACCAATTTTATTGATTACTCTTGAATTCACCGTTTACGAAAAAAACCTCACCCAACCCCAAAACCAATTTTACTGTTTTGGATTATTATTTTTTAAACAAATTATTGAAATCGGTCTTATGGTTTGATCAAAATTATGAGTTTTGTCCTTATTATTTTTTTTATAATTTTGTTGTGTTTTTCGTCCTCACACACTTGAAAAGACTATTACCCTTTTTCTTTTGTTTTTCAGTTTTTATATTATTTATTTATTATTTATTAATTAATAAGGTAAATTAAAAAATATATGATCCCACCAACACAGTTCTTCTCCCTCCCCTTCCCCTCCGTCAACCTTTGATCGCATAACCTCTGGCATCACCTCCGTTAACCTCCCATCATCACCACCATTCACATCTGAAAACCACCACCAGTCACCACACCAAATTAATTGAATTTGAACAAAAAAAACAACAAACAAACTTCATGTAATCACAACCAAAACCTGGAATCCAACAAAAAAACTTGTAACCTGTAACTAAAATCAACATCAAACAAAAAAAAGGTTGAATGAAAGTGTCGTCAGAGGTTCCAGAAATCAAGAACAACTAGTTGCTCAATCCATCAATGAAAAGGTAATCCTCCATCTGAAAACACTAACCTCGACCTCTGATTCATCGATCTGTGTAGTTTGAGCTCATCAACAGTTCAGAAGCGATGAAAATGTGTAATGACTTTGGTCGAAGAATTGAAGATTTTCAGAAGCGATGAGGGTGGTGGATTGATTCACGTAAGGCGATGGTGGTGGTGTCTCCAATTTCAGAAAACACTTGTTTCAGTAAGACGATGGTGGTGATGGTTCTAATTTCAGTAAGACGATGATGGTGGTGGGATATTTGAGATACAGGTTGAGTGAAGATATTCAATTCCAGTTCCAGAGCTTATATTGCATTGCAGATCTTCGATTTGAGTTCAAGATCTTGTATTGCAGATCGTCGATTTTCGATTTAAGATCTCCGTCGGCAATCCAATGAATGAACGAGATGGAAAAAAAAAAGCATAGTGAGGGTGAGTGTTAGGTTACCGATGAGGGTTTATCGATTTAGGGGAAAAGATGATGGTGGCGAGTATGGTGTACGCCGGTGTTCTAGTTTCGTCAGAATTTTGGTCTTGCCGGAGATGGTGATGATTTAGGAGGTGAGTAAAGGCATAGTAGTGGTGGTGAATGGCAGTAAATTGAAGAGGCTTGAACTTAAGAAGATAAAGGGGTAGGTATGGGTCCATTCTATTTTTTTATTAAAAAATATAAAATTAATAATAAAAAATAAGTAAAAAATAAATTAGAGAGGGCAATATAGTCTTTTCACATCGGATAAGGATGGAAAACGCAATAAAACCAAACTTTGAGGACGGTCTGAGTGCAAAAAACTCATAATTAAACCATGGGACGATTTGAGTAATTTATTCTATTTTTTGATTGCTCAAAGTGGAAGATCTAATGGATATGTTGACTTAAGATCTACTACTACATGGTTGGGCTTTAGCTTAGAGCAAAAGAAGATGTACTCTTATCTTAGACGTGAAAATCGATTTCCTACATGAAACAAGAAATATGGTCAGCTGCTAGTTACTACATCTTGGAAAGGTACATCCAATAAATATTAATTAAACATTTTAGTACATTATACAGCAAATAAAACATTGCAACATTGATGATTGAAAATTGATTTTTTTTTCTGTTGAACTAGTTCCATAAGGATTTAAATATCATTTGGGTCTATTTGTGGTTGTTTTAGAAAAAATTCTTCTTTTCATAAAAATGGGTATTTGGGAAACGCTTTGTAATGGAATGATGAAGGTCTAATGCAATCTTTTAGCCTAAGTACGATGGTCGGATGCAATCTTAAAGCCTATGTATGCCACAATCTTGTGATGGTAATGTACGTTCCTAAAAATGTACGACTCTAAAACATTCCTAGTATTCATATAAATAAGTAACGTTTCTAACAAAGTGAACATGTTAAATAGATTTGTTTACATCATATAAGTTAGACCACTATAATAATTTTTTGTTAGGATTTCTTATCAACATTCTTCTTAAATGGCCTTCCACGTGGTCTCTTCACCACCGTCACACCGCCGTTTTTACTCTCCACCTCCACACGCCTCTGCCGCCCTCTCTTCCTCTTCAATCCTTCACCCACCGGAGCTTTTCCATCTGGCGGCTCTGTGGACTGCACCTTTTTCTCCACGCGCGGTGGCCGACCTCTCGGCCTCTTTAAAACTTGAGCAACTTCAGCCACCGGAACGTTGCCATCTGGCTCTGTAGACTGCACCTTTTCCTCCACCACAACCTCCTTACGACGACCTCTCGGTCTCTTCAAAACTTTTCCGGCGGGTTGCTCCACCACCACACGTGCCCCCCCGCCCTCTCGGTCTCTTCAGAACTTCAACAGCATCTGGAACTCTTTTCTTGGTGACTTCTGCTAAACAGAGCTTATCTTCCCTTCTGAGATACTTGAATACACATGTATCTCCATAACTCATTATCTCGCCTGAATTCATTCCACCCCTTGGACAAATAATACCTTGTATAATGAACCCCCTCTGAAAGCAACCTTATTGGCCACTCTTTTCCTTCCAGATTCTTCATACTTATTGTTCTTCCTGCCTTCATTCTGATCAACCAGGCAAATTCCCCCGGAAACCGCTGATGCAAACAGAAGTTATTGTTATTATCATTATTTTTGAATAAAAAAAATCTACAGATTATATATGATGAATTTATGATAGCTATTACTAACCCAAATCTTACCAAAGCAAGTTTTTGTTGTTTAGATAAAACCATCGTAAAGCAAGGATCCCCGGCGTCCCCATCAATATCATCATCACCTTCTTCTTCTTCTTCATGAATGTGATCATGATCATGTTTAAGCTTTATTTTTGGTGGGAAATCTTTTTCACAGCAATCTGTACCGAAAATTAAGAGTTTGAAGATGGAGCGACCAACGAGCCAAAAGACAAGAACATCCCCAAAAACCAATTGGGTGTCTTCAACGACCTGCTTCCATCCATCGGCAAAGCAGTAAATATCACCGTCTTTTTTCATCTTCAATCTCCAGGAATAGCCTCCATTTACAGATCGGAGTGTTGCGTTGTCAGGGATGTTGTTCTCCATGTGCTTGTGGACAAAACCAGATGGCAATGGCTGCAATATTGATAATGCTGATGCATGATACGAAAATTACAAGAAAAGAAAGATAGAAACTGGGTCGTTGTAGTAGATGAGTACCAGGTGACCGAAGGAACGGTTGAGAAAGATCTTGAAGAAGGAAGGGAGCCGCGGAAGGCGACGGAAAGGGGCCATTTGCGGAGGAGGGTTTTAGCTTTATATATGCTTTATCAGTTCAAACATGTGGTGGAGTTGGTTTTGGGTTGAAAAATCGGGGTCCAATGGTGATTTCGTGGGAGAAAAAGGGGAGATTTATTTACCTGAGTTTCGATTGATGAACCTCGAAGCCATTCAGTTAAAGTTGAAGAAGATATGGTGCAAAGGAGAAAGAGGGTGTCGGAGAGGGAAATGGAACTGAAGTTTGAACATAGAGTATGGTCAACTGTCAAAAGTAAAAGTAAATACAATTTTCCGTAAAAACACTTTTATTTTCATTTCCCAATCTTGATCCCTCAAAAACGTAAAAATATATTCTTTAGAGATGCTGAGTGATTGATTGATCTAGCCTTTTCATGATATACATTTATATTAGGGAAATAACGTTAATAATAAAAAAAATAGAGGTTAGTTTCAAAAAATAGACATAAAAATGGATTTTTTCGGATATAGACATGCATTCTGCGGAGATAGCTTTGCGGAATGGTAAAATCGTAAATAAATTAATGTATTTAAAAAAAAACACACTAAAGATCTATTCCACGAAGCTACCTCCGAGGAATGAACTCATTCCGCGGAGGTAGCACCGAGGAACGAATCTTTAGTATGTTTTTTTTTTCACATCAATTTTTTGGGGTTTATATTCATTCCCCAAACTAATTACTTTTAATAAAAGATTATCATACTATTATAATCTTTACTTGAAAATAATAAGTTGGAAAATTAATATAAACCCCGAAGAATGGATGTGAAAAAAATAACCTTAAGATCCATTCCGCGGAGCTTCAGTAGAGTCCGCGGAATGCGTGTCTATATCCGAAAATGTCTATTTTTGTGTTTATATTTTGAAAAAACCACCCATTTTTTTAATATTGCTAGTATTTTCCCTTTATATTACCATTTTAAAATTTTATAGATTTGAAAATAATTAGGGTAAATCTAATGACACGAATGAAATTCTAATTACACAAATAAATGATATATTTTTATTTTTTTAATAGGTTGTAACCCGTGTATTATACGGTTGACAGATTTAAAGAATATTAAAATTTAAAAAAAAAAAAAAAGAAAAAGAAAAAAAAACTTAGTCATTAGTTATAAATTTATAATATTTGTATATAACATTAGATGTTATATACATATAGTCAACCACATACTACACAAAACCAGTCCAGCATGTCTACATGGGTAAAGCATAGAAAATAACAACGTACTTTATTATTGTTAACAATATAGACATAGGAATATATATATATATATATATATATATATATATATATATATATATATATATGTTTAAGTCATTTTGTTTTTACTAACTATTATGTACCAGAATGCACAGATCTTGACCACCGGATATAATAGAATCGAATGTCATGATCTGAGGGACTATGATATTAGAATATGATAACATGTACCGTATAATTACACAAATTTCTGCTTAAGGGCGTTTTAGTCAATTAACCTATATTAAAAAAGAAATTTTTTGGATTTTTAGGGATAATTAATTCCTTTATTTTAAAAAATCTAAATATTTTAAATTAATTCAAATTTAAAAATCCGATTTTATTCTGTAAGAATGATAGAATGCAAACCATAAACAAGTAAATATATTTTTCGATTTTATTCTGTCAGAATGATATAATGTCAACCATGAACTAGTAAATACATTATGAAAGAATACACAAAATCGATTTTTGAACTAATAATGTACCAAATAATTACATTGTATGATTGTGATTCATTGAATAATAACGACATTCTGAAAAAATAATAAGTGTAATTCTTAAAAAATAACAAAATTCTTAGACAGTGAGTGTGATCATTCTTTAATTCATTCTTTAAGTCTTTCCCATCAGGTTTTCAAGCCATTTTTCAAGTCATTTCTATCACAAATTCATTGTCAAATATTTTGTAGTGATACACTTGTAAGAACTGCACATTAAACCTATAAATAATTAACTACAGTCTATCAGAATACAACAATAATATTCTTACAGATTAAATTATTCTTGCAAAATGGTTTTGAATATTCTTAAAAAATTTGTATTATCAAGAATTTAGCCAACGAACAAAACATTTGAAATATAAATACATGAAAAGATCATGTTAACACAAAGGGTGACCAAGAAAAAAACAATTAGAATATATAAACCATCTTCGTAAGGGAAAAATAAGTAGGAAGAAGACCCTCCAACGGTAAATAAATCATCAATATAAAGCATATGAAGAAGTGTGAACTTGTTCAACCATTTTGATAAAATGTAACCCTCGAACCAACAACTTTTAAGCGAAAAAAAAACTTCAAAAACATAACATACACCAAATTAATGGTCGGTATTGGTGCCTTCGACCTACTAGTGTGGTAACAATACTCACCTCTAAATGAAGATCATTGCACTGCACACTCGAGTTGGTGCTAACACGTCTCCTTACACTAATCATATCCCAAAATTAACCCTAATTAATAATATGAGTTTTAACCCATAATAAATGGTCAAATTATTCCATTATCCTTATATATATATATATATATATATATATATATATATATATATATATATATATATATATAAAATAACATTGTGGTATTGAAATCTCTATGTACTCATCAGGTCCTCCAACCTGACCCACTCAACTTTTTTGTATCATAGGTAGAGATACAAAGGTGCATGCACAATGAGAGATTAAAGGAAATATAGACCATTAGTATATTTAGACACTGTAAGTCTCCGTTTATGCTTATGTTTTATATCAGTTTTGACATCATGAGTTTTAAAAATATAAATAAAACACATTGATTCGAAAATGCTTTTATAATATCATTATCATGTTTTTTGGACAAATTCCACATAATTAACCTTTTTAGAAGAATATTGTGTTATAATAAGCATAAACAAATCGGTATTTTTTGGCCATAAAAATGGAGATGTCACACCCACCCCACCCTACCCAGACCCCACTCCACACCGTCCATTTACATTTCCCACTTATATCCCCGTTTGTAGTCTCAATGACACCTCTCCTCCGTTAAAGCCCTTACTAGTCTCCTGTACAACTATCATCACATGGACCCCACAACCACCGTCGACAACCACCATTGTCGTCGCAGACCATCCACCACCTCTTTACTCCACCTTTCTGTTCAACACCATTGCCCTCACCTTTCTTTCCAACACCACTTCAGTCGTTTATGCTCATCGACAAATCCGATGAAGCCCATAATAACGACATTGATAACATGTGAATTTGATGACGACATGGAAGTATTCAAGAGTAAGCCTTCGATTTCCTACCACAACAAATATTAGATTTGGGTATCTCTCTAGAAACCATCTAGATTCCGATTTCCCTCCATCCAGAAACATGCAACACCTTCCCATGAAACCAGATACACCCTCCTCTGTAACTGTAAAATGTTAAATGTGAATAAGTGCCACCAACACCATCCATAAATTCATGTATTTCTGAAATTAGTTCACATCTCTACTCCCCCTCCATGATAGTGAATTGTTTTTAAAAAAATGGATAATAGGGGTTTTCTATGCAAAAGAAGGTTAATAAGAAAAAAATTTAGAGCTCGTTGTTGGTTGGAAATCAGAAGAATATTAATGAACAAAAACCATGTAATGGGTTTGATGGGAATATGGAACCTCTAGATCTTGAATTTCTAAATGTATGGTTAATCTTCAATATGGGTGTATTATTGGTTGTGGTCTTCAATGACAGAAGTGGGTGGTGGTGGTCGTCAATGGCAGAAGTAGGTGGTCGTCGTCAATGGCAGAAGTGGCTGGTGGTGGCCGTCAATGGCAAAAATGGTTAGTGATGGTTTTGTATTTGATGTCATATTCTCAGGTGGATGTGGTGGTGACTTTCAGGTTTCCAGTCATATTTTTTTAGAGTTGATTTTTGGTTCTTGGTAGTGGTTGTCGGTGGCTGTGATGGTTGTTGGTGGCTGGAGGTGTCTGATGATGGTTGATGGTGTCTGATGATGGAAGCGAGAGTGAGTCCATGTGTGTGTGTGAAAGAGAGTAGGAAAAAGAGATCATGTGAAAGATTGGGTATATGGAGATGGTGGGACAACATGTAAAAATCAATAACTTTTTACATTGGTTAATAATAAATAAACAATTAAAAAATTACAAGAAATAAACAAGGATAATATGGTTTTTTCATGTTTGTCAAGGACCAAAAATGCAACAAAACAATAACACAAAGACGGTCCAAATACAAAACAAAAGTTAGGGACCAAACACAATTTTTAAAAATCACAAAGTTGATTTGAATAATTTATTTTAAATTAAATTAAAAATAGTTTATTAGTAGATCATTATCAAAATACAAATTAAAAGACTATAAAATTCTGTGAAAAAACGTCATGTATTTCTAATCCATTTTAATTGTCAAATTTTCATTAAAACCCTAAAACTTAGAATAATAATATATATAGCCCCTTTAACTTTAAAATCTTGTCATCTTATTTTTATTTATAATAATAAATTTAAAACATGTAAACTTTAAAACATTAATATATATATATATATATATATATATATATATATATATATATAAAAGATAAGTGTTGTTATTGAATTTCCGATTTGATCCTAACTGTCGTCAAATAACAAAATCATTAAAACCGACCCAGGATAAAGATGGTTTTTTTTGGGCCTTTGGCTAAAAGAGAAACATCTTGGTGAGGTGTAGTAAATGTTATCTTAGAATTTAGGGATAGAACCTCTTCATGGGGAATCTATCGGCATTGTGAACATATTTTTTTCTATTGATAAGTTTTAGAAAGATTCTTTTCCTCTCGCGTTTAAAATCATACAAATATTAAACATAATTGGTTTCTAATAACCGCCAAACCATATGGTTAAATGGATATCTTGTTAAATGGTCGACCGTTTGAGTTATCAATTTATAATGGTTAATAATTAGATAATGAGTTATCAAAATCTTTTTTGGTAACTAATCCA